CAAGCACTGGTGTAGTGTGGACGGAACGATCCGGTTACCATGAATCCACGGACGCCCCAGGAGTATGTTTTAGGAGGGTTCGGCATCGATGACGTAGCACGTCACTTCCGTCTTCATGTCGCCTATCCGACATTTCAGGCGGATTTTGCCGAGTGGCCTAGTCCCTGTGGCGTTGAAGCCGAAGATGGTAGTCGAGGTCGAGGCTAGGCGCTTCGACGGTATCCCCAAGTGTTTGATTAACTTCAGGGGCACGATGCTCAGCGCAGACCCCGGATCAACCTGGATCCGATCCACTTTCGCCGAGCCGACGTATCCTGTGAAGTACAGCGGCCGGTCATGGGACGTGTTCTTGATGAGCATGTCCTCGGGGGTGAAAGTGATGCACGCCTCTTGTAGGGCCTCCCTGGTAGGTCTGGATAATCGGAGGAGGTCGTACATGGTGATTCGCGTGGGGATACTTTTTAGTTGCGCGAGTACGTTGAACCGGTAAGGCTGGCGGCTCGAACTTGGTCCATCTGGATTCAGTTGTGCGAGCACGTTGAACCGGAAAGGCTGGCGGCTTGAGCCTGGTCCGTCTGGATTGGGAGGGGTTGCTACGGCTGGCCTCGCGGGGGGTCCTGCCGGGTTCTCCGCCCTCGCGGGATATTCTTTCGCGAATTCTTTCCCTGCTCTCGTGGCGAAGACGTTGGCATCCTCTTCAGAGTCGGTTAAGGCAGTCATCGCCGCGTCATCTCTATCCAGGATGGCGGAGACAACGTTGCAATGTTTCCTCCTAGCCTCCTTGGAAGGCTGTGCAGTCCACTGCTCGTCATCGAGGAGGTCCGGATGGACCCACATCACCTGCCCTGATGACAGAGTTTGTGGAACCAAACCCTTCTCCCGCTGGTTGTGAGGATCGTCGTTAGTGATCTTCAAAACCGCCTTGGGGATAGGAATTATCCCCGCCGGAGCTTGAACCTCCGGGAGACCCGTCCCAAAGCTCAAAGTGACCATGTTCGCCGTCACCTGCTTTTGGACCTTCTCTTTCTTCAAGACCCCCGCGTCGTAGAGGGCCTGGAGC